TGTGTTGGTTTGACCTCGGTTTTGCAACTTGATCGGGGCGAAAGCGAGACCTTTTAGAACGTTCTTAGTCTTGTGTCTTATGCAATAGTGTTCATTATTTCCACCATCGGACCGTTGACTTGGTACGCTACCAGACGTTTCGCCAGCATCGTAGGTCGGCATCATCAATGAGTATCGCCATCGTTAGCATAGAGTTACAACATCCAAGGGGCAAGTGAGTGCCATCCCCTTGAATACTTTTACATTCAGCCGTTGTGGCATTCATCGCTCCTATTTTTGCCTTATCTTGTAGGGATATATCCTTTTCTTTCATCCCCACCCCATTTGGCCCACGTATCTCTTCACATTATTCTATGTATCTGAGTGGATTTAGTGAGGCATAATCGCTCTCACTATTGGTTTCAGGTGCCGTTTGCATGGCTTCTGATTCATTCGGCCTTACTCATCCAGCTTGTCAGTTGTTCCTTGCTATACATGACAGTCGCTGTTTGGCTGCCCATGAGTCTTCAATTCCGGTCTACGTTTACGTCATATCCGAGGATTTGAGATTATTAAATGAAAATCAGAAGTTCTGCTAACAGCATCTTAGGCCACTGCTGAAGGTCATTATGTTTCGCTAAATCCGCTTGATGCTACATACTACTAGGCAACATTTGAAGGAACGAGGACAATTAATGGGCCATATAAAGTCGGGTTCAAAGTAAGATATACAGGACTAAAAGGTAAAGCGAAAAATAGGGGCGAAGAGTAATGCCACAACGGTTGAACAGGAAATGAGTCAGACGGACTGCCTACACTTGTCATTTGGTCAGTTGTAACTGTGCTAAGTATGCCTCCTCTCACTGACGATGCGACGAAACGTCTGGGAATTTACCAAGTTAGCGCTTTGATGCTGGAAATCATGAATATTATTTCAGAGGACGCAGGACTAGGTACGTTTCACAAGGTCTCCGACTAAGTTGTGAAAACGAGATCAAACCAATACTGCGATAAACAAAAGGCCACACCATCTTGGTCTTCATATATGCAATACAAAAGGTCATCAATTTTCTTCTGTATACTTATTACTTTACCTTCATTTTTTTATTAGGCTCATTTGCCACAGCTTCTTGTACCACCTGCCACTATCGCGTTCCAGGGAGTGCAATTCGCGCTGAAGTCATGTCTCAATCTGTGCCTAAGTGTCCTATGTGCCATTCTGGGGACTGTGAAACTGACAAGAATATCCGTCTTAATTATCTAGACCAAGACGTGAGTGGCGCTTGTGGTGAACGTCTTCTTGTTAATCGAGCGAATGGTGTCCTCAAACCTGATATAGTCTTTTTTGGAGAAAATCTGCCGGAACAATTCCATGATTCTATAGCGGCAGATAGAACTTCTACCGATCTGGTCCTCGTTATGGGTTCTTCTCTTAAAGTCAGGCCAGTGGCATTGATACCCAGTAAGATTTATAAGGTTAAATTTGAGTTTTGGTTTCTATAGGCTTTTCTTCCTTGTATCAGTTTATGTTTGGTTAAAACTTTTATCCACCCTTATCAAATTTACTCTTATTTTAGATAGTTGTCTATTACATTAGTTAGCCCGAAGTATTCCTTCCCTTTACTGTGCTGCCAAGCCGCAAAATATATCATGTCCCACCAATAACTTGACACCGAAGATGCCTCCTGACTTCTAACTAAACCACGTCATTCGTTTAAATTGAACGCAAACGTAATTCTATTAATAAATATTTTGTTTACTAACAGTTTTCCATTGTGGTGCACTGTGTACTATAGATCGCTAAGTTCATTAATGGTTGATTGATGATCCTTTACTTTTAATCTCTGGCTGCTCATTCAATATTAACTCTTAGGTGTGTGCTTCTTCTCTGTACAAAATATTAATATATTTTGGCTATACATAGAAAATTAAAAACATCGCCACAGAGCATCACTTTCTTATCTACCTGCTTTAAGGAGCCATCAGAATTCCTTATTGAAGACTAACAAGGTTCGGTGATTTAATTTATTCTTGGTGGTTATTTTTTATCGCAAAATCCTTACTATTCACAATCCACCTTTAGACATATTATAATAATTAAGAGGCCTTGAATTTGGCCTAAGAAGCGCTTTAATTTTCTTCCCCTCCATTGCTATTTATAGGTTCTCACAAGCACTGCTTAGGTTTTGTTAATCTTCAGGGTTTTGTAGAGTCCTTCTTTATTATCCTTTTATGCGTTTAGAAGTTTCCACATTTTTGGAAACATTACCCAAACTTTATTGGAATTCGCTACTTACGTATCTGATAAATTCTATTGCTTACGACTGGTTTTGCTTCACTTCTCATTTTGTTCCTGACATTCAATTTTCTATTTTAAACATCGCTTCGAGACTAGTTAATATTGAATACGAACTATAACTAACTTGGTCTGCATATAGTGGCAAAGGACAATATTTTCTCACATATATTGCTAGTCCTCACGATGCCAGTGAATATCACAACCTTGCCTACAAAAATGTCAGCTTCATTTATGTCTGGGTCTCTTCAGCACTCGTGAGGAGAATGGAGCTAGCATGAGCTTAAAGTCGCATAATATTACAACTACACAGCCTCAGGCGCCAGGGGGCCACAAAGCAAAATAAAAAGACAGACTTCTCATGTCACATTTTATCAGTGAGATTGTCATTGAGGGAAACTTTAATTTGCTGCTAAAATCCATTCCTTGTAATTTTAACAAGTTAGTTTCAAGACTACAATATTCCGAAACCTATTTATTTCGAGTTCAAACAATGCAGTTTATTTATATCATTGTGGGAAGCTTCACCTTTAGATATTTCATTACTATGCATCCTTTGGCGACTACAGTTTTGTTTACTTTTCAAGTTTCCTGCTAACTTGTAGTGGCCTATTCTCACACTTCCCATTAAATGTTTAGTTTTGTTGCGTCCCATACGTAGCCATGGCTCAAAATCCTTTGGTGCAGAGATCTTGTGAATGCGTGACTAATCTTGATTCTATTTCGCCTCGCCCAATTAAAGCTTGGCACCGCATCTTCCAATCAGAAGTTGATATAAAAAACTAACATTCTTGAATCACGACTATTGTTAGCCAACTAGATCTAGCTTCCACTGTCTGTATTTTATTTATATCTATAATACCAAGTCTATGACTTGCTATGCCATAGTCTTTTGTGTGCCAACCCACAAACGTTTGTGGTTCTACATTGAACCTAAACAAAGCCAGGAGTACCACAACATTTGTGGGTTGGCACACAAGCAACTAGGGCATGGCAAGTCATAAACCTGGTTTTATGAATAGAGGCAGGATAGACGAGGCGGCGATTGGAGCTAGTTGGTTGACAGTAGGTTTTATAAGAGACGTGGTCCATGTAGCAAAGGCATGACCATGACACTTACTTTGAGGCTTTAGCCTCTAATTAATCGCCCATGTGCAAAGGATGGAAGAATTACGCCTCGAATAGTACAGATGAGGGGGGTGCAGGAGTCGAATGAAATACATGTACCAAGCGGATTCGACGGGGCAAGAGGGAGACTTTGATAGGACCCAGGGAAGGACTACGTAACAATATGACAGACTGGTCAACATTTCCAGTACAAGGATCAAGGGGGTGATAGCGACAGTGTGGAGTGTGAATGATTTTCATGAATGCTGCTCGAAGGAGCACGGTAAAAAACTGTGACAGGGAAGGCATGATAGGAGGATATAGGAAATGTGAATAGGCCAGGGGAGAAGGGGAGATACCATAACTGTTTAGCACACGTTTGGTCAAAGGATGGGCTTAACTT